CTTGTCTCACCTGATGCACCTGCAAAAGCAAACTCATAGATCTATAATGTGTTCCTCAAGGGGGTGAATATGCCGGCCGACTAGATATTATCAGGAGAAGAGACAACATTCTAAGAAGGTCATATTTGGTAAAATAACCTATAGAAGAAGGAGACTAGATTGGTGAGTGACAGGGAAACCAGGCTGTACAGAAATATTGAGTAACCACAGGATGTTTAGTCTAGAGAAGAAAAGATTATGGGACTTTGATGGTTGTTTTCCAGCATTTAGAGAGCTATTGTGTGACTACAAGGGGAACCTTAAGACATTTCTGGGTTATTTCAGTTGGACCAATGGGGTGAAAGTTAGAGAGGGACGGGATATTTTGATATCTTCAAGAGCATTTCTGCCAGTCTCAGAACGTTTCAGTGGAAACTGGCTGACCATCTGTCATATTAACTGTTTCCTTCTGGGAAAGCTAGATTTTGTCAATAATGGAATGCATGCCAATTCCTTCATTTTTATTTTCCAAATGAAGTTGGTAGGGCTTCTCATATACCTTCCTGAAGTCTTCAGATCTGCAAGAATTTTGCTTGCCTAGAACTAATGAGTGTTTTCCCATCTCTCCCACCTTCACTGGCTAAAACAACTTTGACTTAGTTAATAGAATGTCTTAGAAAATCTGTTTGAACCATTAAAACACACTGCTGACCCACTTAGGGTAAAATGGTTATTGAGACCTACCCTGTGTGTCTGTTCATCCACCAGTGGGACATGTAGATACTGGTGTTGACTAGGATGTACAAGAAAGGGAAAACCGTGCCTCAAAGGGAGGTAAATGGTAAAAGAATGTTCACAGACCAGAATCTAAGAGATGGAGCACATACAAGGTCCATTCAAGGCAGGAGTAGTGGATCCCTGAGCCTTGCAAATGCCAGAGGAAGGGAGGGGCCCCCAGCTCCCTGGAGCTGATCTATATTTACTGTGGTTGTGTCTCCCAAGTTTCATAGTCCAGTCCAACATCTTCCGGACACCTGCTGTTTTTAGGTGTGCCCAGATGTCATCATAAAGCTAACAAAAGAAAGAGCACATCCTCAGCTGGCCATTTCTGTTGTCAACTTCTGACCAAGGAACACTTGGTCAACAAGATGTGGTTCTAGGGCCTGGGACTGTTTGTAGCTCAGTGGTAGAGCGTTTGCACGTGTGAGGCACTGGGTTCGATCTTCAGCACCACATAAAAATACATAAATAAAGATATTGTGTCCATCTACAAATTTTAAAAAATGTAGTTCTAGGGAAAGTGACAGAAGAAATAGGTCTGCCAATAAGCTGCTGTCACTCAATACTATAAATTTACTTCTTCAATTCTTGCCAAATACATCATGTTGGCATCGTGTTGAACCTGGGTGAAGAATCGGTCTTTAGTTTAGAAGGGTGAAGTCTTACCTATTTGATATTTACAGAGGCTGACAAGTAAACGTAAATCCAAGACCAGTTTTAGTCATTACTATTAACCCGAGGTCAGATTACAATGAGGTAATGTATCTAGTTTTTAAGTTGAAGTGCTCAAACGATCTGAAAATTATTTTGAATGATACTGACAGCCACCGAGGAAAAACTGTCTAAAACATAGAATTAAACTAAAATATAAAATTAGTTGTACGCCTGCAGAGTTACAGAGACTTTGCAGGACTTTAAATAGTTACAAACAATAACTCTGCTATTCATTGAGCAGGAAAAATATGTCAGCTTTATATCAGTGATTACTCTGTCAAGCTAAAGGGCCATCATTATAAGGAGAAAGTGTGGTGTAAATATTGTATAAAGAAGCAGGATGAAGTCAACTGCCTTCCACTAATTCAGCGATGAAGGGGATGCTGAGCAGCTAGTGATAAGTATGGTCACAACAAAGGAAAAAGCAAGAGCCAGATCCCCTTTTCCAGTTCATCTAAGGACCCGCCACTATTGTGCTTAGGTGCCCAGTACACCCAAAGGTTTCCTTCTAGCATACTCAAATAAGCCATTCTGCAGTAGTCTTTCCTTTTACTCATAGAAAAAGCAGCATTTCACAGCTGAGTTGTTTGGTTACCCTATTTCAATCAGTTTCAATCTATTTTAACAAAAGATGAATGATAAGGTCCCCATGAATAACACTCTAGCTATAACTTACTGTTACTTTCTTGCTTTAACAGAGGAGGAAACTGAGGTGCAAAAGGCTTTAAGGAATTTGTGCAAACTCACACAGCTAAGAATTGGCAGAGGATGGACTTGAACTCAGCTTGGCTGGTTCCAAAGTCCAAGTATTTAACTTATAAAGCTATAACACCTCCTCAGTAATGGAACTTAGATAAAATTTAAAATGAACCACATGCCTAATATACAAGACACTGTATTAAGCCCTTTATATATACAGTCATATATTGCTTAATGATGGGAATGCATTCTAAGAAATGTGTTATTAGGTGATGTTGTTGTGCAAACAACATAGAGTGTACTTACCCAAACCTGGATGGCATAGCCTCTTGCACACCTGGACTACATGACACCTGGACTACATGACATTTATATATTTATTTGCATATAATATATAAATATATTTATATATTTATATATATCACATATAAAAATATAAATTTATAAAATATAAATATATAAATAAATATAATGGATTATTGCTCCTAGGGTCATAATGATCAAAACATGAGATTAAATCAAGCACTAGAGAAAATTATGTAATCAAAAGATGCAGTAAACATGAGATGTGTGAATCTGCTGCTGGCATCACATGGCATAAGGTTTTATAGTTAAGTGTTTTATATAAGCAGAAGGAGTATATGCTAAAATAATAATAAAAAGTATAGTACAGCAAATATTTATTTAAATATTTAAATCATTTATTATCATTAAGTATTACATACTGTACATAATTTTACATGCTCTATGTTTGAATGACAGGCAGCACAGTAGGTTTGCTCACACTGGCAACACACAAACACACAGGTAATGCATCACGCTACAAGGTGATTGTGCAGTGCATGACTGTATCAACATAGGAATCCCACAAATTAGGACATTTGGACACAGGTAGAAGGGATAATAAAAGAATCATTAGATGGAACTATTCTGTGTGTCTTTGGCATAACATCCTAGCTTGAATATAGTCTCTGGGTTACAAGATTGCAGGATGTTAGCAAAACGAAATTTTTTTGTCATTCTTTCTTTGCAGGGGTGGAATGGTACAAACCAGTGAGCAGTATGAATTTTTACATCATGCTCTCTGCCTGTACGAGAGCAGACTTTCAGCAGAAACTGTCCAGTGATTCCTGGGAGACTCTCCTGATCATCAATCTCTGGGGTGATTAATCAAATCACCCACTTGAGGCTTCTCTAAGAAGCTTCCTGCAATGGAAGGAAAGCTGCTCTGAAGCCAGCCTGTGGCATGGATCATGGAAGACTTGGCAACGTGTTCAAGATTGCCAGCCCCTTGTGTATATGAATGCATTTGTAAGCACCCCCCAAATTATTCTAAAGGTCCTATGCTGATGGAGGTATGATACATTTCTCACACAGCCTAAGGTGGATTTTGTTTTGTCTGTGTTGTCTATCTGACACACAGAACGTGTGTATGTAATATTCAGTGGTATCTGTCATCAAGGGATGACTAGAAGAGCTGCTAAAGAAATCATTATTGTGTGTTTAGATGCTTTAATGTTTGCAGAGTCTGTCTTGTGAATGGACTGTCAGCTGTTCAACTGTTCCTGTTTTAAGTGCTATTACCTATCTCAGTTACTGGAATCTTGCTGCTAAAGTCGCAAGTGATTGATAATGGATTTTTAACAAATAAGTTTTTGTTTATGGAAAAAAATCAAAAGCAGTTACTATTTTATATGGAAATGTGTCTTGATAATATTATCTATTAAATGTGTATTTATAGTACTTCCCATCAATTACAGAGCACAATGATTGTCATTGGATATATATGTACTTACTCTATTTCCCATTAGGCATAGAGGTGTGTCCTGCTCCAGAATTCTATCCACTATATTTCTACATTGTGAATTGTTTTATTTCCAAAGGGAAAAACAAATTTGTAGCAACTAGAAAGCATCACGAATTTAATCCTTGTCTCTCTTTTACTAAGAAGGGAGTATTGAATATGCTGTCTACCTGGAATCTCTCCTAATTAAAGGCAGATGCCTTTGGGGATGTTGTAGCCACTCCCAATTCCAGAGGTTCTTCAAAAGGATGCTGCCATGTATGTCCTTACATTTCTGAAAGGTTTGAATCTTCAAGAGACAAATGAAATTAAAATAACTACACTCAGCAAACACCTAGATATTCCGCTCAAAAATGAGTTTTTAATGCAGCGATGTTGACTTTGTTTCATACTGCCAATAAACTACTCTTAATACTAAATATTGAGTAAAGTATATTCTTTTTATTTTATTTTTTTTTCTCTACTGGGAGAAAGGCCATTATCTGGTAGGGGAAGCCTGAAGTAGATAATGTGATGAGTTTAAATTTAGTCTCTGCATCTCCCCAGTGGAGATGACTCTCTTGAAATGGAATATTGTCATCACTTGAGAGATAATGATCCAGAAGTGCCATCATTATGTGGTTTTCCTCATCGACTCCCAGCATATCATTATACAAACAGTACATGTTTATGTCTTTATATTACTTGTCGTGGACCCTCGTAAATTACATGGTTTATGTATATTCAACAGAATCGCATCACCTGAAAAGATGTAATGTTGCAGAGGCACTCAATTACCTACAATCACAATTCCTTTTCTTCTCTCTTGAGGTTAAGAAGTAGTCGTGTGCCAAAGGGACCCTAGGTGAAGACTTAAGGAGGTTTATTCTGCTCCTGGAGGCTAGATCTACATTTAAAAAAGAGAGAGGTGATCATAATCCCTCCTTTCTAAGGAAACAGACAAAAGGACACTGGTGTAAAACTTCCCCAAACAATTCAATTGGAGGAAGTGCTCGTCACTGACTTTTCCCCTCACCATGAAGGCACGTTTCCTTCCTAGTCTTTGCTTCTCTTATCTGGGAGAATTTTTTTTCCCCCCAAGCGAAGCATGAAGAGTTGTTAAGTGGAAAATGGAGGCTGAATTTTACCTGGCGATTCTTACCAGCCTGATCTTCAGGAGCTCGGGTGAGTGGGTCTGCCTCAGTATCCTGAGGCATTTCTCCCAGATCTAACAGAGGAGTCCCCGTGGCCTTTGAAAAGTGGCTGAAGTAAGGCAGAAATGAAACCAGGTCTCCAGGAGAGTGGAGCCAGAGACAGTGAGGAGGGAACTGTGCCCACCCTGCTGAGAATTCTCCCACAAAGAACATAAACGTCTCCTCAGGTCCTCCAGATGCCCTGGGCAGCTCAGCCCCTCGCAGGGCATCTTGACAGGGGAGAGAACAGCACCCTGAGGAGATGTCTTTACTGTTATGTAACAGGCTGTAGCACCCCCATGCCCTTTTCCAATCAGGTTAAAGTTCTGATTTTTTTTTTCATATTAAAGGAAGAAAATATGAAGGAATATGATTGAAGGGGGTGAGGAGATGTATTTTATCTAGAAGTTGTCATTTGGAAGGGCTGAATATTTTCATGGGAGAAGTGGGCAATTTAAGTAAAAACTCATTGAAAACACTTCTGAGCCTGAATAGCTTACTTTTTAATGTGAATGTTTAACAAGTGGGTATTTAATTTTCTTACATCAAGAAATGCTGAGGGTTTTTGTTGTTGTTGTTGTTCTTAAACCTGTTAGCATTTAAGGAAAATTTGTAGGCATTATCACAAAATAGTAGCTTCTCTCCAGGAGTAATGGAAACTCAGTTTGTGATAATTGATGCTTTCATTGGTTGCTATCAGCTAGGAGATTGTCCTTAGAGGGATGGAAAATATAGTTTTATATTTATCTTTTGGTAAATATGTGCAATTTTTAAAATTTTTATGCAAACTAAGCAATTTGTGTACAAATACTTATTACAATGTGAGTTCAAGGATTGAAAAGGTGATTTTTTTTTTAGAGTGAAAGAGGTGATATGGAGTTAACTGATTTAAAAAGGAACCGAGCTTTATATAACTGTAGCATATTTAACTAATTGGGCTCACATCATGAGACACCACTTTCTTTGGATGTGTCCTTCCTTATCCAAAGAAAAACAGTATTCTCTGGATGGTTTTGTTTCTTTTCCAAGTTTCCTTTCATTTTTGTTATAAGGTATGTGTTTTCTCCCTCACACCATGTGAAAGCTTCAAAAGGGGAGAGGTGGTTGCTAAGTATAACATTTTGACATTTTTGATCATCCGACTTTTAACTTTTAGTTGAATTAATTTATGTATTTATTAGCCTTGGGATTTTAAATCGCATGTGCTGACTCTAGGAATATTCACTTGAAATGGTAGAAATAGCAAAATATAAATAAACCTAGTATTTTTACATTGGTGGGTGGGTGTTTTTTTTGATTTTTAAATAGGTCTTATAACTTGCTATACAGCACTTTATAAGCTTTTCATCTTCCAGAGGGGTTTCAGATTGTCCATGTCCAGAAACATCAGTGCCTTTTCGTAAATCAGAGAGTGATCGTGGTGGGAACCTGCAATGGTACCAGCCAGAACCAGCAGTGGCTGTGGGCTGAGGATGGAAACCTCCTCCATGTTCGATCTGCACTGTGCCTGGGCATCTCCAACTCCTCCGGTGGCCCTTCCCGTGCTGCTGTCCTCACCCCCTGCTCCCAGGCACCCCGATGGACCTGCTACGAGCAGGAAGGGTTCCTGGAGGTCGAAAATACCTCCTTCTTTCTCAAGAAACAAGGCCCCAAAGTAGTGGTCAAGAAAGGCAGGAAATACCTCCATAGCTGGATGAAAATAATCGTCAACAAGGAGGGGAAAGTGGTCAATGAAAGCCTCTGCTTAAAAGAAGGTGAGCAATTCCTTTCAGAATCAATTCTGAAAGTCCTCCTACTCGATATCTTGTTTTAACACCTCCATGGGAGGTCTACATGCCCAATATATTTCCTATGGAAGATTAATAAGCTACTGTGGATTGTGTGATATCCAATAATAGAAAATATCATCCTCATCATTAGCCCCACTGTACTCTATCCCTCGTTCTTCCTTTCTTTCCTTGCTTATTTTACTATTCCAACAAACATTTCTTGAGCCTCTCCTTTGTAAAGACTCTGATTATGTACTATTTCATATAGAATTATAGAATAGGCATATACATAGCATATTTGTGTAATGACTATAGTCAATGATTAGGAAATTATTAGGTTTTGCTGACACAGACACTTCTATCCTCTGATAAGAAGGATGACATCATGTGCTTGATAAAACTGGCAAGGAAATAAATTGTGTTTTTGCAAAATTTTTGTGCTAATGTTTTAGGGTAGCTATCTTTTGGAGGTAACATACTTTTTTTGAAACGATAAAAACCCATGTGTGATTTTCACAGGTTTTTCTAATTTGTTGACCAATAATGGACCCAGTTGATGGACACATGTAAAGAAAGACTTGTATGCACATGCACAAACTTCTGGTGCAGTACATAGTTCAATCCTGAGCTAGGAGTTTTTGTTTGTGGAATATTCATGCAGCTTCATTCATTCTCTCTTTAATCATTTTATTGTGAATTCACTCCTGTATTAGAGGTTTGCTTCAGGAATTCACGAAAGATAAAACTAACAGAATCCAAATAAATTTGGCACAAAAGAGCCTTATAAATCACTAGAGAAACTATCTAAAAATGAGGCCTCTCACCAAGGAGATTGAAATTTGTCAAGGTTAAGTAAATTATTCCAGATAAATTAGTAAAAGGGCTATGACTAGAACCTGAATTTTTTTTATGAATCCTAATTAGTTATACATGACAGTAGAAAGCTCTTTGATTCATTGTACACAAATGTAGTGGAATTTTTCACTTCTCTGGGTGTACATGAAGTAGAGTCACACCATTTGTGCAAAATATATGCTTCATGGATTTGTGCATCATCCTTGTGCAGGGGTCATGCTAATCTTCTCTGTATCGTTCCAATTTTCGTATATGTGCTGCCAAAGCGAGCACTAGAAACTGAATTTCTTGACTCCTTGTCCACTCTACGTTCTCTTATATCAGTGGTTCCAAAATGCTTGACAAGACACATTTGCCCAACTGGTTGCGTGACAAACCCCATTGGAAGGAAAGGGAGGATTTATTAAAAATACAAATTACTGGGCTGGGGAGGATTTATTAAAAATACAAATTACTGGGCTGGGGTTGTAGCTCAGTAGAGGGCTTACCTAGAATGTGTGAGGCACTGGGTTCGAATCTCAGCACTGCATATAAATAAAAAAATAGACAGATAGATAAGTAAAGGTCCATTGAGAACTGAAAAATTAAAAAATTACAGATTACTAGTATTCCTTTCCATTATTTCTTCCTCTACAACCACCTCCAAGATTCTGTATCAGGAAATCTGAACTTATACAATGTCTTTTAAAAAGATCCCCAGGTAGTGTGGGTCCATAATCCTACTTCAAGATCCCCATCTGTTGTACCCTTAAATCTTTTACCTAGCTGCTCAGTTTTGAGGCTGATGTGTGTTTTTCTACCATGCCAGTCTTTGGACAGTTTCCTATCACTCATTCATTTCATAAATTAAATAAGCATTACGGATGAATGCAGTGGACTCCTCTACAATGGCAGTTGAGAGTTAAGAGTTCCAGTTCCTATATATTTCTAGCTATGCAAAGAAGATAAAAAATATAAAAGTCAATCTGAAAATTTAACCTTATCAAAGAATATATAGCATATAACCCAGATTCATATAATTCCTTTCCTGTTGTTCATTTATCGAAGACTGTCCCAAACAACACAGAAACATTGAAAATGTTCAAGTTGTACTGCTAACACAGGAAGTGAGATTCATCCCCAACTCTTAATCAATCCTTAGCAGAAGGTTCATTATTTGGGAGCTTTAAGGAGATATTGATCTAGTGGAGAGTTATTCAATACAAAAGAATCCATGGACAAATTCTCTTCTTTGACCCTCATACAAAATATGTCTTCATAAGTGAAGTGCATATAATAAGCATTTGCACTACCCACTGTACACACCATGTCCACAACATGACTAGAAATGTGTGTTAAAAGAACAGATTTATAGAAAAAGAAAAAATTTAAATTTGCATGATAGCAGTATAAAAATATTATATTTGAATACACATAAGTAGAATATATGCTTTAACACAATTATAAGCTAACAGACACACTTTTCTGCTCTACCTTAAACTTGGCATTGATAGCAGATTAAGAATGGTATTTGGCATAGCATAAAATATTATATTTCCATAGTATGAAAGTTTATCAATTTGCTAGAGAAAACAATGTGAAAGATTAACCAAAACACACTTATATGTTTGCAATGAATATTCCAAATATCTATTTTTTAAGTTGATAACTAAATACTGCAATCTAAGGCAGCATAAATATGCATGTTGTTCATCCATAGGATTTGAATTATTTTATACATTCTTCAACAAAAGAAAGTATACTATAAAGGTAAAAATCTGAACCATATATTTATATTTGTTTCACAAAGAAAACATTCATAGTTTCATTCAAACATCCAAGTAATATTTATCAAACAATTACTATATGCCAGACCTTGTGCTAGTAACTGACAACCCTACACCATTGATTCTCAACCCAAGTTTCATATTAGAATTACAATGATAGGGGCTGGGGCTGGGGCTAAGGGGTAGTGCACTTGCCTAGCATATGTGAGGCACTGGGTTCAATTCTCAACAACATCTATAAATTAAAAAATTAAGGTCTATCAACAACTAAAAAATAAAAATTTAAATAAAAAAAGAATTACAATGATAGCTTTTAAATAAGACTAGTGTGTAGTCTCCCTCCTGTAGGCCAATTAAATCAGGCATTGTATTTTTCAAAAGTTTCTTAGGTGATTCCAATGCGCAACCACATTTGAAAATCATTAATTATATCTTACTCCTTAGAGTAATGGGGAGGTCAGATAAGTAAATAGGCAATTACAATAAAGTGCAAAAAGAAGAAAGAACCCCTCTTTCCAATGTCTATCCGTGTCACTATGTCACATTAAGCACCCATTCTTCATGATGCCCCTCCTAACCCCAGCGCTAAGGATTGAACCCTGAGCCTTTGTGTGAGCTGGAAAGTGCTCTGCCACGCCCCAACCCCTAAGCACTTATTCTTTTTTTAAAAAAATTTCAACTATAGGTCAGTGGTAGAATGGTTGCCTAGCTGGCATAAAGCCTTGGGGTTTGATCCCCAGCACACACACAAAAAATTTTATATATATATATATATATATATATATATACATACATACCAAGGATAATTTACAGTTGCATATGTTTTAAAAGTCTTTTGAGGGTCCACTAAGTTTTATCATAATTCACCTATCTCCATTCTCATAAGTAAGAGTGTGCTACTTTCCTTTTCCTTTACTCAGTCCTCTATAACAAATTAAATTGAACAGACTTCAAAAATAGGTTAAAATTCAATTAAAAAGATACTCTTGGTTTTTTTTTTTCAGACGAGCACTTATACTAGAATAGATATTTCAAATAATCTTAACTTACTCTAGCGATTTTCTATTTGTTTTTCTGTGCTGGGATTGGAACCCAGACCTTGTGTGTACGAGGCCAGCCTCTACCACAGGGCTACACAAGCTGAGCAGTTTTTTTTTTTGCTACAAGAATGTAAAATGGGTTTTGGATTTTTTTATTTATTTATTTTTTACATAGTTCATATTTCTTTAAAATAGCATATTAATAGAACAAATAAAACAACAGAATAAAATTTAATAGGACCTAATGAATAAGAATTTAATAAAATAGAATATGTGGGTTGTATGGAACCAGGGATACCTGTATGTGACAGAGACCAATTTAAAGAAAAGATGGGATTGAGATATTTACCATTTCCTCTGAAATTTAAGTACTCTTAAGGAATACACTGCATATTTTGGACAAAGAAAGACTGTTCTGGCAGACAGACTCTTAAAAAAACAAAGCAGTATGGTTTAATCAATTTTTATAAAAATCAGAGCCCTAAAATTCTCATTCTGAGTAATAAGAATGATAATAAAAGAATCGTCTCCAAGATGCCAACTAATCTAGCTAAAAATTGAGAAATATCATTCTTCCCATATATTCTTTTTCAACCAGACACCAAATATTCAAATATTTAGAAACATTCATGCTATCAGTTCGCAGAAGATAGTCATCAATAATGCAATAAGATCTATTTGATAGCACTGAATTTTCATATAACCACACAGTTGACTTTTTTTTTTTTTTTTTGGTTAAGAAGCACTCTTTCTTCCAGAATGAAAATGCACTCTGAGGTCTAAATCTCTATCTGTGAACTCTTAAAATATAATATCATAAAGGGAAGACATCCTGCTTAGCTTAACCTTAATAAGTTAAAAAGAACATTATACTGGCCTACATTTTAGGATGTACTTGTACATTAGTGTATTCTAGGAAAGTTCACTTGAAATTTGATTTTTAAAAAATCATTTCCCCATCACCTAGTCTCTTATATAACATAAGAGATACAGGGGGAAAAAAACTGAAAAAGTAAATTGCAATGCTATAAGCCTATTGAAAACAGAGATCATACACTAAATTTTTATGAAGTAGTCCCCCACCTTATTATTCATGGGTAATATATTCCAAGACCCCCAGTTGATGCCTCAAACTATAGATCATATCAAACCCTATGTATACCACTTTTTTTCATACAAATGATAGTTTAATTTATAAACTAGGCACAATGAAAGATTAACAATAATAACTAATAATAAATTAGAAAAATTACAAAAATACACTGTACTAAAACTTATGTGAATATGGTCTCTCCCTCTCTCTTAATACCTTATTGTACTTTCA